ACAGGGGCGCGCCGGGCACCGGACAGCAGCGCGTGCAGCAGCGGCAGCTCAGCTTGCGCAGCATCCAGTTGAGCACCTGCTTGATGAGGATGGAGATGACGTTGAAGAGCGAGTAGATGCAGCACACGCCGAGCAGGATGAAGAGAAAGTTGCCCAGGCGGTAGAGCCCCTGGTTCCGGTAGGCGGCGTGCTGGCTGCTCACCAGGTCCCCGAAGCCAATGGTGCTGAAGGTGACGAAGCAGAAGTAGAGCGAGTCCACGTAGTCCCAGCCCTCCACGCTGGTGTACATGGCCGAGGCGCAGCATGCTAGCAGCACAGCGAACAGGCCCAGGATGAGCAGCACGTGGTACACCGAGGGCTTCCAGCCCGCCAGGCTGTCTGCTTCCGACAGTGCGGAGCCTCGACGGAAGGTGGGGGGCAGCAGGCCGCTGCGGCGCAGTTGGCGCTCTCTGCAGGCGCGCATGATGAAGGCCAGCAGAGAGATGATGCGCTCCAGAAAAAGGTTGAAGAATAGGATGGTCCCCGCACAGCCGAACAGTCCATATGCGATGAGGAAGGCCTTCCCACCCACTGTGGCTGGGGTGGTCATGCCGAAACCTGTGGAGATAAGAGTCAGGGTCAGCTAGGGCAAGTAGTCTCTATCCGGTGTGAGCACTTGGCAGGCGAATACAGATGCTACGGGATCATCCAGATGCTCAAGACCATTCCCACAGGGCATTTAAACTGCCCCCCCACCCCCAGAGAACAAATGCGTGGTTTCCTGGTCTTCCTTCCCAGTCTCATCTCTGGGGTCTGTGTTGATATCCATTAAACATGGACTTTTTCTAATTCAGTTTGATTTGGTCTAATTTGGATTATTGTGTGTGGGAAGAGGTTTATTGGGGCGCAGAAACTTTTCAACTGGAGGTCCCACCAAGGGGGGCTGTTTTTCTCACTGGCCCAAGGCCATGTGTTGGGAAACCACCTTTCTCCCTCACCTGTTCTTGGTCGCCAGGCTATGATAGGCTTTATCTGGGTAAGTTCTGATTTCCAAGTCATTGTCTTTAGAGGCTCAGGGCCTCATATGATTTTTGGGCTGTCCTGTTGAAGACAGGACACCCAACCTGACCAGGACAAGGGCCCGCCTTGTCCCTGTGGGATTCTTTTATCAGGAGATGTCCTGTTAAAGTATTTCTCACACACCTCTGGCTTGTTTTTTTTTTTTTTCCCCAAAGTGTCTACCATAGTGGACACATTGCTCTGGGCTTTGAATCCTGGCATGGACTTGAAAAAGGAACACTTACAATTCAAGGCCTGATCTCCAAACACCATTGGGCTGCCTTTTACAAAATCTTTTTAAATTGGGGCTAAACCTTACGTCCCTTAACACCTAAAAATTTTTGCCAGTGTGAAACAAACAAACCCCCCATATGCCCGTGGTTTCTGGATGCTTTGCTCCTGCTGTCCCTCCCTACCCCTCTCCCCACTTCTCTTCGCTGTTTGCTGTTTGTCTGCACTCCTGGCATGTGATCTGTCTCACTGGGATTCTCCCTGCAAGGGATTCCTTTCCCCCTGTCCTCCCACTCTGAGCTGCATAGGTGTTCCGTCCTTATGTTTCTGGTCTCCCTTTCAGCACCTGCTGATCTGGCCCTCAGTGGGACCACCTGTGCTCGCCTGGCTTCTGCAGCCTACTCCAGGATTTCTAAGTTGGTCAGCTGACACAGTTTCCTGGAAAAAGGTTTGTGCTGCGGGAGTTCCTTCTGCTCCTTCAGCCAATAGCCGCTGAGATACCCGCCCACTGGGGCGTGGTCTCTCTCTCTCTCTCTCTCTCTCTCTCTCTCTCTCTCTCTCTTTAAAAATAAGCAGCGGCTGTCCTCCATTCTCTCTTTGGCTTCCGTCCCTGCTGCCGGCGACTAGGCTCCTTTCCTGATTGCACAGAGGGGCTGTTGTCTGAGACGGTGATCTGTAAGTTTTTCCCTTTAAATAAATAACTATTCTATTAATCATAATTCTGAACCGGTGTGGGATTGTTTATGACTTACGCCTTCAGGTTTGTTTGTCTTTTAAAATATATGTATAAATAATGTGGCCACAGTATATGCTTGTTTTATGTCTGTGTGTTTCAAAATCTATAAAATTTGTAACTCCAGATTATAACAGCTCTGGAAAAATACTAACATGTGAATAGCCACCATTTTTGATTGAGGTCAAAGTGAAAACCTCAGTTCCATCTTTGGTAAGAGTACCCACATGCCCTGGACCTCCCAAGGAGACATTCTGCCTCCAAAATTCTTTACCTTACTAAAATATTCCTTCTAATCTTCTTGCCATTACTGACATTGGTAAGCTGTAACTGACTGGGTAAACATTATGTCCAAATTTAACTTATGTGTCTAATCTAGATATACCTAACAGATAATGGTACCCTGATTCTCAAGTGCCTTCACAGATCTGAAAGTATGGCATTTAACAAAAGAGCTTTTTATGACAGAGACATGCCAGCTCCTGCAACATCCTATAGCTCCTCCAAGAAGATGCATGGCTGAAGAAGACCTGTCTGGAGGATTGCACTTGGTTATGGCAAAGCCACCACACAGCAAAAAGCTGCCTTCCACCTCAGCTTTCTTGGACTGGGGAAATTGATCATCTCATCCTGCCAAGACAGGTAGACTGAACCCTACCCCCACAGAAAAACCTTCGGCCTCCTGGACGCAACAGTTAAAAACAAGTACTGCTTCTAAGACTAGTATTCACCAAAGACTATGGAGAGACTTGGGCTTACCTGTGTAGTTAAAAAAAAAGCCATGCCCCTTCTGCTCATTTCCTTATCCCTCTCAGATCTGTCTGATGGCATTTGATGACTTAAGGTACTGGTAGCTCATTACTTCATTTGTTAAGTTTCCTGCTAAAAATACAGACAGATGTGCCTTTTCCACAGGCCCCAAATTAACAGGTTTCAGATGTATCTTCAGAGGTTCAGAGTTTCCAATTTCTTTTAATTGTCTTCTAAAATGTTCACACCTTTTAACCTAAAGCCATAGCCTTGTGCTGTGACATCAAGATGTAAATCTGTCCCAGTTGTCTTACAGATACCTGCAGGTTCCTGAAAAAAGTTCTGCTGCTTTGTCAAGGAATCTGGTCTGGTAAAAACAATCTCCAGAGCCTATTTTAACCCAACCCATTTTCAGGCATGTTTTACAGGTCACTCCTGTTGTCTGGGCCAAGACCAGCTTACAAAGGCCCCTCTAGATAATGCCAGTACCTACACAAGCTCCTGGAACTTCACCATTGGTACCACCTCTCCTGGCTCAAATGGGCACCTACCCAACAACTGAAATCTGGTTTGAAAGGGCATGTCTGCTCTCGTGTCTTACGTGTTCACCCGTGCTGCTCCTGTACAGCCAGGGCAGTTCTCTGTCCCATTCTTTCTGGAGTTAATCACCTTTCCCATGACTAGCCCCATTCATAGGGCCAGTAATAACAATCTATTTTTTCCTCCTAGCAGTGTGCTTTCTCATCTCCCTCAACAAACAGATGCCTGAGGTCTCCAGAATGGCAGTTAACCGGATGCCTCTCTGCCACACCTTCTGATGAGTGTGAGTCCACTAACTCCCGACTCTCCCCTCTCCCGTGTCACCCCATGCCTGCGGGAAGTAACCAGACTTGAGCTCGCTTCCCTATACCCAAACAGTCTGGAATGTTTGGGTAGAAGTTCCATCCCAAGCCCCCTCCCCTGGGAGTTGCCTCAGTCCAGACTCAACCTCTGAGAAAACCCTCCAAACGATGACCCCTCCCCAGAGATGCTCAAGACCTCTCCTACAAGGTATTTAAACTGCCCCCAGAGAACAAACACATGGTTTTCTGGTCTTACTTCCCAGTCTCCTCTTTGGGGACCAGGAAGGCCACCCGGGAGTGTTGGTATCCATTAAACCTGGACTTTTTCTAATTCAGTTTGATTTGGTCTAATTTGGATTATTGCATCAGCGAACAGGTTTATTGGGGTGCAGGAACTTTTCAGACAGCACTTATACATTTCCCTCTCTTGGTGGCTCCTGATCGTGGGAACCCCAACAAGATGGAGAGGGGCCTTTTCAGTGGGGATATTTACGCAGATAAGTGCTAGGTTGGGTCCGATAGGATGTGCCAAGCAGCAACAGGTACACAGATGCGAACCACTGAGCTGCCCAGGAAGCCAACAACTGACACCTGTTCCCCTAACTGAATTTTTTATGGACTCCCAGGCAGACAGCCTTGTTGGGCTGGACTTCCAGAAGCACATCTTGTAAAGGGGATTGCTCACTCTGGGACCAGTGAGAGAGAAGAGCCAGATGGCCCCTGGTTCACTTACCAAGCTCACACAAGGATCCTTTTGGAGGACAAGCTCCCTTCCCCAGCACTTAAGAGTGCTGATCTGGACATTTGCCACGTGCTTCTGATTCCCTTTCTCTCCAGGACTACTGTCAATCATCCTTGCTCAAACCAAGGCCAAGGGAAAATGTTTTGGCCCAGCTGGGCCCTGTGGTGCTGGTCTATGATTGGAGTTTTGTCCTGGAAGGTCTGCCCTAGGCCCAGGCAGCTGCTTACTATTTTCAATCCTTATAATTAAGAGAGGTAACATGCCTACCCATTCGTGGAAAGCTGGGGTTTAAAGGCTTTGTTAACGCATTCCCACAGAAGGCCTGGCTGCCCCACAGTGTGCCCAGTAGAGCTGCTTGAGAAAGGGAAGTGGGGTCTTGATTATCTTGGTGCACAGTCTGAGCTGTCTGACCACCACACATTTCCATGCCTGTGGGAGCCAAGCTTCAGAAGTGTCCCCACTACCTTCACACCCAACAGAAAGGGATGACCCGTGTGTTGCTGTGCAGTAGGCCCAGCTCTGGGAAGAAATCAACGATACTTTGTTCTAGTTGGCTTACTGTCCTTAAACAGGCCAGAGAAAATACTCCCTAAAGCTTTCCGAGCAAATTCCTTAAGCTTGTATGCTAACAATTTTCTTGATTCTCTGGAGGAAACACCCAAGTTGTGTATTCATTTTATGATTACTGATACAAGTTCAAGGGAAATCCTATGGCGTTACTCATTGAGAAAGATGCTTTGTTTGCTGTGTTCCAAATTTGTCCACAAAAGAATGAAAAATAACAGCAAATAACAGTAACAAGACAAACAAGATGTTTGTAGTCTGCCCAGGAATGTGAAAGAAAGATTTTATAGTACTCGAAAGTCAGACTCAACTTCTTGGGCTCACGAAGAAATGAACTCTGTATTTATATTAGAGCCTGTGGAGGTAGAGCACAGGCCTGGCGATGAATGCTTGCAACCCTGGCAGGAGGACTAGGAGCAGAAGGTCATCCTTGGCTGTGTGTAGGGAAGCCAGCCTAGGATACAGGAAACCCTGAAGGGACTCTCGCCAGCTCGGGCGTGGCAAACAGGGCTCTGCAGGTCTTACCTTTTTCCCCATTCTGCTTTCCTTGTGTCCTAAAGCTGGTTACCAAGCTCTATTCCTTTATTTGATCAACTTCCTGAGGCTGACGACCAAAGTCCAGCTATCAAAGTTCTGAAGTCCAGCAAACAGAAGCCCCCTTTGGCTCACCTAATTAACATGTCCAAACGTGGCATTA